AAGTGTGAAAAGGGCATCTGATCAGACTTCTGACCAGTCAATTAATCTTGGAATTGCATTTTCTTTTATCAAAAGGTTCACTCACGATTCAAAATTAATTGCTCCGAATAAAAAGGAAAAAAAAAAGAAGGAAAAAGGCCGCGATTGTGGGGAATCAAGACCCTTTGAAAAAATACAGTAACGCAGGAGTCTTAAGATTAAGGCTGCCACGGGGGGAAGATGGGTGAATATTTAAGATGGATTGAAGTCTGAATAGTTAGTTTGTTCCCAGTGTGCAATGGAAGAGAAAGCTTATTATTCAACAACATAACTTTTAAAAGACTTAATTTCCTCCTGATTGTTTCGGATGTAAAAATGTAAAGTCATGCCCTCTTTTATTTTTTATCTCCAAAGTGTTGCAAGGCCATAGTGAGGACTCTATGATATCCTGTACGTATAAAAGTAAGGAATTCATTTTATACTTTTATACTGAAATTGCAGATATTCCCCACATTATGTTCACATAACATAACAGAGTATGTTTTTAGCTATTCAACTGTCTATTTAGCCACCTACTAAGCCACTGTAGCAGCAAATACCTTGACCAAGACATAGTATGAGTACTGACAATAAAGATGAAGTCAATCTGAAGCCAATGCTGACCAACTTCAAATTTCTTGGGTTCTAATTGTAACGTTCTTGATCCCTTACCAACTTTTTAGGCAAGGAAAATGTTTAAAATCCACCAGGGAGGCAATCCAATTTCATAAAATGTACCCATTATATATATATTTATACATATAAACTGTTCGCCTCCCAGCTCCCAGGACTCACTCTCTTTTCATCACCATAAATTGCTGAACACCTACAGAGAAGACAACCATCTTGGAAACGAAGAGCTAAATACGGCATCATCATTTATTTATGTAGCAGATCTGTGCGTGCACTTACATCACTGTTTAGTCATATTTGTGCCAGGAGTTTGTGTGCATGCAAAAAATTGACAAAAGTCTGACATTTCCCCTTATTCTGAGACATTCACGAGCTGTGGGATGCTGTGGGGGTGGGGATTTTTTATCACCCCTCAACAAATAACAGAGGAAAGTACATTTCATCACTTTCTACCATGCCGTCACAGAAACACGTCTCTCGCTGTCTTCCCTCACTGTACCCACACTGTCCTTGTAGTATCATATCCTCCCCCTGCCCCCCACCCCCTCCTCTTCTGTCACACTCGAGTATCTCTCTTTAAAACAAGGCAGGAGGCGTTTTGATTATCATAATCCAGTCGCAGCTAATTAGGATAGGTCAGCTGGTACAGTTAAACAGCATCCGGCCCCTTCTATTCTTTCTGCTCTTCCTCAATCATCAGCTCTCTCTCTCTCTCTCTTTCTCCATTTGCTCGGACAGCTATATCAGTGGGTAACATCTCCCAACACCACTGCCGCCTGTCTGTTCGTGATAGCGACTGTGGCAGTCATCTCCACAGAGGCGAGCGATGTGCTGCCAGCCACTCCGCTAGAGCCAGACAAGCCCACATTAATGTCTGCTGCAGCAGGCACGCTGGAGCATCAATTAATCGGCGTTTAAAACTGGCAAAAAAATGCATTTGATATACGCTTAATTATAAGCTCAATATAAGCTTAATTAATACACATTGCTACCACTTTTGCGGAGCTAATTAATCAATTTGAGAGTGATCTGTGGTGCGAAGATGTCCAGATGATGTTGTCTAGCAGGATACTGCTGAACACTGGGCATCAGAGGAGGCGATGGATTGCACGGACGGTACGAGGTTAATGTATGTTACTCGTGGCTGTTACTGAAAAAGAGGAGAAAGGAGGAAAAAAGCCAACGAGAATGTTAAAAATAGAAATTAAAATAAAAAACAAAGACACAGTTGTAGATACGCTGTAGGCTACAACCTAGCAAGTATAGGGGCTATGACTAAAACAGGGTTGGGAATTGATTGGGACTTGAACTACATGCTTTGTGCACTTGTAGTTCTGTTTATACGGAGCCAGTGAATGAGGCCGCAGTGTTCTGGCAGGAAAGCAGAGAGAGCTACAGAGAGTAATTGGGAGGGCTACGCTTAGAGGGAAACAGAGGACTTAAGATGGGATGAACGAGGGAAGGAGAGGAGGGGGGCAGAGAGGGAGAGAGAGAGACCTATGAAGGAGATGCTAAGTGCTGAGATCTGAAGAAAATAAGCCTGCAGGAATACGACCCCAGAGACAGTGACCAATGACAATCTCCCTTTTCTTTCTCCTTTTTTTCTCCCATCTGATAATAGACAGACCTGCGTCCTTCCATGTGGAGCACGAGAGTGCACGCGCGCACACACACACACACACACACACACACACACACGCAGATATTAAAAATATGATTTAAGACCTTTGTGTAGAGCAGAATATTTGCATTTACAGCCCCGTGGGTTCAAAGTGTTTTACATACAATAAGGTCTGCTGCTAACAATACGTGGACATATGCGCAGACCCACAGGGGCTAGACCTCAGGACTTGAATGTTCGGCCAGCTGTCTGCCGCTGGGTTGCTGGCAATGCTCCACCTCTGAGCTCACTCCTAACCTCATCTGAGTGCACATTTACACAGAAGCATGAAAGTGCACATGCGTGGGAACACACACACACGCATAGTGTCAGCCCACTGTCTTCGGTGCCTGTGGTGCTGTATTTAGATTTGGCCATCTGTTCTGTCACCTGACAGGTGTAGGTGCAGTTCTTTTTCTTACTCTTTTTTTCCACTCTCTCTCTTTGCCCTCCACTCTTTCTGAGGATGTATGAAAGAGTCACATGTTTTAAAATTTACATGTATAATCAAATGCAGGGTCGACTGAGCAAACAATCATTCTGTGTCACCCCCAAAAGCCCATTTTTCTCAGTGAAGTAAAATAAATCAATCACAAGAACTCAAGTGTAATGATAAATGGTAAAGCACTGTAACCCATCGATTAAAACCATAAATGACATGGATGAAATGTTCAGTGAAGTCAGCCAACTAGGTAAAGCCTAGCAGATAGCTAAACACCATATCTGGCTACTTTGATACCCACTTGTCACACATAGCAGCCGCACTCTTAATGTGCATAACT